AAATAGAAGAGGAAACAGTAAAGGGAACTAATTTAATTTGCTACAGCATAGAGCAAATTTCCATTCTTTAGAAAATACTGCCACTAATTTCATTGGTATGTTGAAAACTTGAGAACAAAATGTGGTGAAGTTTATTATTTCTTCACTAGTCAGTGGAACCTATTCATAAATAACTGATATAATATACAAATACACACGAAAGCCTAAAATTAATTATCCCAACTATTATCATCATGCATTTGCCCAGCTTTCTAGTCTAGTCATCATGCATAATGCTGTAGAATTCAGCTTTCTGCATATTTCACTTTTATCATTCTTTCATTTAGTCTACATTTAGTAGCTGCCTTGCATATAACATTTTTAAAAGAATGTTTTCATTTAGGTATCCACTGCAAGCCAAACCATTGCAGGTTCATAGCCTCTCAATGAAAGTGTGTGTGTGTGAGAGAGAGAAAGAGACAGAGAGAGAGACAGAGAGAGACAGAGACAGAGACAGAGACAGAGAGAGACAGAGAGACAGAGAGAGGGGGGGCAGAGTATTTTTATTCATATGACACAGCTTACACTTGCTGACTTTGACATTCTTTGAGTGTTACATTCACACTATCTTTGGTTTTGACTGATCCTAATACNGTCCACTCACTGTAATCATAACCTTTTGCGCAAGAGAGCAGCATTTGGTCCAGAAGTTGCAAGTTCATGCTTAGAGAGATAAAAAGGAAAAAAGGTAAAAGACAAGTATGTTATTTAAATATTACATTTAGAGCCAATTCTTTCATTATAAGCATAATATTACTGCTAATATTAAGGAGATATTTTTATTAAACATTTGACCCCACGTTTTGCAAGGAGGAAAAACTTTTCAGTAGTAGGTAAATAGTAAATATCCTTGCTGAGTGGCTGGATGAGTGGATCAATAAGAATTGTTACCGAGGCTAACGGCGCTTGTGCTGGTAATCTCTGTGTATAAGAAGCACAAAAGAACAAATGGATTGAGTCTCACAGGAGCTTGCATGGAAGAAACTGAATTACACATGTAATTATGGTAGGTGAGATTGGGCTGTCTCTCTCCATATGGACTGTACTAGGATTACGGTACTTAACTAGGGTTCTTAACTTCTTAAGAATAAAGACTTGAGAATAAAAGAAGACTAATTTTAGAAAGTGATGATAGCTATCAATCGTCTTATTTAAAAAATAACACTAGAATCAATAATTTCAAAGCAATCCCAATCCATAACAATGGAGAAGATGATTGCCTGATAGTGAAAACAAAATACTAAGAAAGGTTAAAGAAGAGATCAAAAAAATTTTTTCAGGCACAACCTCTTTTTTTTAAAGAGAAAATGAGAAAAAATAAATCTGGAGAATCTTTTGATAGCTGCTTGAAAAGATTCCTCCTTTTCCCCAAATCTTTTTTGCTAATAATTCTAATGTGATCGCTTAATCTGCCTCCTATTAGTTTTGAACAAATAACATTGCAGGACCAGCTGAGATAATGGGAAGAGGGAAGGAAGCGAGGCAGAGGGAAACAGACTCGTTTTGAGTTTCAAAAGATACTAAGATAGCAAGCTTTGCTGATAGCAAGCCCTATCTCTGAGCTTCTACAATACAAATTCTTTCTCTTATAAAATAAAGTGGATCATACAACACTGCATTCTGAAAATGTACTTCTCTCATTAGTGATTTGGTGGCTCTGAGCATGGCCTGCTGGACTGAAAGACTTTTCTTGTTTATTTTTAAACCGGCCACACACCCAAAGTTCTCAATGTCCTTCATCAAATTCGGTCCTGAAAGTAAGGGGTCTTCCACGATAAAGACCATGTCATCCGCGAAGGCCTGTACTTTGTATTGTTCTTTTTTTATGGTCAGGCCCCTAATTTCCTGATTTGATCTTATCTGATTTAAAAGAACCTCTAGTGACATAATAAATAGTAGTGGGGAGAGCGGGCACCCTTGTCTAACACCCTTTCCAATTTGTATCCTCTCCGTTAGTTCCCCATTGACTATATAATATTTGCAGATTGCCGTGAATATATAGATTCTATAATCCTAATAAATTTATCGCCAAATTTCATCATTTTTAGTTGAGTGGTTAGAAAGTTCCAATCTAGGTTATCAAAGGCTTTCTGA